ATATAAATGTAACGATTTGAGTTATTCACCAAAACCGGTGAAAATTATAAGATAAATGGTCTCAATAATTAAAAAAATAGAGAATTGAGTATTTATATAAAACAGTCTCACCCACAACTTCCATATCCATTCTACTTAGTGACTTGGTGTCCATGACGTTTTGATTTAAGACTCAATCTAAGCAAACCCGTATATACTCGATCAAGAGGCATATTTTACCCCTAATGCCATGTGAGTCTGTGTTGCTTTTTGAATATGCTTATCTTAATTTGGTAGCATCTGAGATAACAAAATGCAGAAGTACCTTATGTTTGAAAGATAAATAGACACCTAGATTACATAAGATTTAAATATCAAGGTATATCGGTACATTCTAATAAAAAGGAATAAATGCTTATCAATAATGATGAAATGATTTCTTAAGAATAATATAAATGTAACAATTTGAGTTATTCACCAGAAACGGTCAAGACTATAAGATAAATGGTCCCAATAATAATAAAATAGAGAATTGAGTATTTTACTTTTTATATAAAAACACTCACACCCACAACTTCCATATTCATTCTACTTAGTGGTTTGGTGTCCATGACGATTTAATTAATGACTCCATCCAAACAAATATGTATATACTCGACCAAGAGGTATATTTTAGCCCATATAAATCCCATGTGAGTCTATGTTATTTTTTGAATATGCTTATCTTAATTTGGTAGCATCTGAGATAACATAATGCAGAAGTACCATATGTTTGAAAGATAAATGGACACCTAGATCACATAAGATTTATACAAAAGATGCAGTCAACTGACTCAACTCCATCATTATCAAAGATGATGATAGTAACATTTTTTACTCCAGAACAATCATAATGAAGGTAATTTTATACTCAATGAAGAATGGTGATGAGATGATATCCAATGAGGGATCCATGATAAAAAAAAATATAAACTGAAAATTATTACCTCCAACCATGTATGGCTCGGATGAATTGGTTTTGCACTCAACACAGACCAAACTTGCAAACTGCACACCAAATTTGGAGAAAGAATAATTAGTTTTATACTAAACTTGTTGAATATATGTTCAGGATCATTGTGTAAACCAACAAAAATGTATAGTACAATCACCCATATGAAATGCTTGTAACCTACATATCATCATAATCGGAATTGAGCAATCTGGATAAAGCCAGCTATTGGCAATTTTAGTACCTGCAAATAGAAGAAGCTTGTGAAAGGGAACTTTTTTTAGAATTCCATGCTTCAGATTGTCAAAACAGGGGAGGTCAAAGCTGTTGGGTCTGGATGATTGAAAAAATGCATTATGTATTATACCAACTATTTAAAAAGAAAGCCTTCTAAATCTGAAAAAACATATTGAAAACACTGCATGTAGAAAAGGAAACCAAACTGCAAATTCTCACTACTTATAGTCTTAGTGTTTGCAAATCATATCCCAAAAAGAATGAAATAAATTGCATTTTTGCATCATATCTAGAAAAAAACAATGACAGTTGTCAGGAAGGAATAAAAGGGAAACAAAATGTGCGACAAAATACACAAAGTAATGCTTTTTTGAACAAACATTTGTTGTTTTGCTTGCGTGATGTACTTAGTTTACCTCTCACAACCAAAAATCAAATTAAAGGGAATTGAAGTCAGCCTCCTGTGATTTGTAGATTTCAAAAATTATCAAAAAATAAGCAATGTGGCAACAAATATAAGTTTCACCAAATATCACATCCCTGTAAAAGGTCATTTGTAATATCACCAAAAGTTTAAACTAAAGGGAAGTCAGCTTCATAGTTAGTAGAGTTCTGTAAAATAATATGCTCTTATTCCAAAAGCTAGAAATAAAATAGCATAGTCGCATAAGTTTTCTATAAGGGCTGTATACAGATTTTTCCTCTCACAACCAAAAAGTCAAACTAAACTGGAATTGAAGTTGGCCTATTGGTTTGTAGAGTTCTATAATAATGTGTTAAAATTTCATGAATGAATCTGATGAAATAATAGGCAAGCATGACCAGCAAGCTAGCCCCTATAATCTATTCCAAAAGCCACACAAAAAATTAGCATAGTCACATAAGTTTTCTAAAGGGGCCATATATAGCTGGTTTTACTATCGTTGATGGAAGTATTTGCACCCATCAGAGATATGATGGATTCAGACATAATATACGGAGTAATAGTTTAATTTCTTCTAAATCTAGGGTTTTAGAAGAAGCTTCAGATTGCCAAATTAGGGGAGGTCAAATCAGTTGTTAATCAGTATGGAGTTCAAATAAATATAAATATTAGATTTGGGAGATAATACTAACCTGAGAAGACCGGTTGAGATGAGGTCTCCAAGCATGGAAATTGAATTTGAACTCTGTAAATCCAAAAACCTCACATAAAAGATAGAAGAGAGTCGTGAGTCGTGACCTCTAAGGAAGTCGAAATATGTGTGAAATAGTAGAGAGAATAACAGGTTTCTGATTAAGAAAACATGATGCTGTAGATGGAATAGGAAGGAGCCCAAAAGTGAAAGGTAAAGAAGACATCCTAAGGTTGAGAAATACCAGATGCGTGATTAAGAAATACGTGATTAAGAGCAGATGCATGAGATGCTTAGGGTGAGAGCGGAGTTTGTTGAGTTACGCAAATACCCTTGCCAGTGAGCTGGAAACGGGATTAGAGACTTAATATTCTCTCTAGTATACTCACTTAATTAATATACATATATAGATTTGTGTGAAGATTTTGAAAGAATAAATATTTGCGCTAATGGACCTGACATATCAGGCTGGTTATCAACCGTTAGTGAGGATTGATAATTCCTATGACAATTCTACTAGCTTTATGCTTCATTTCAATCGTAAGATACTATCAATTTATTCATCTGTTATAAAAAAGTTTTGCAGTTTTGTGTTTAAAATTATGGATTTGAGTTGATACATCATATTTTGTAGTCAACACAATTATTATTTCAGTATAGACCAAAAGATAAGTCTTTCTCGATCATATAATCCTTGACATTTAATCCTCCCTATTTTTTTTGCATATCTAAACTACTATACCATATATACAATTCTCATTGATTATTGGTGGTTTCAGACATTTGAATCCATAGTATGTTGCACTTAACTTTTATTGGTGCATAAAAATAAAAACACATACATTGACTTCCTTAGGAAAACATTATAAAATGAATGACGATCAAATATGAAGTAAATTATAGGGGTTTCAGTTTAAAACATCAACTATGGAAACACTTGAAAAGGAAAAAGTGAGAACCCTGGAATAAAAGGGGTTGTGATAATCCCGCACTTATTAAGAAAGTTTTGCCACATTTGCTCGTAAAAAAATCTGTTTAACCTTTGCATAAAAATTTCATAAATATATTTGCAGATATGTTTCATCTTTCCCATTATGCTTATCTAGAAAATGAAAATAATTATTGAATAAAGCTACAAAAACCTATATATAAATACTAAATAGGCTTTGGAGAATTGTTAAATCTAAACTTTGACAGATTCTACAAAGACATTTTAGAGTTTCTCTTGAAAAAAATTGCGACCAATATCAGCTCAGCTACAACTCATAAACGGTGAGTTATTATATATTGGAGATCAAGATGTTAAAGCAGCATTTGGTTTGCCAATGGGCAAGCTTACTGTTCAATAAGCCAATGGTAAAAATGAAACAGAAGAGTACACTCAATTGCTGCATCAGTGGAGAGAGGAGTGGGCATTGATAAGGGAAGCCTTGACACGATAAAGATGATTAAAAAACGGTTGAGGATATTGATTCTACAGATCACTTCAAACAAAATTTTGTTGTCCTTACAGTGTCATGTCTCATCAGAGGCAACCAGAGTATCAAAATCAACTTTGAGATCTTGCTCTTTTTGGTGAAAGTTGATGATATTTCGAATTTGAACTGGTGCAAGTGTACAAGACAATCACTCATGAATGCTGGTGAAGAATGACAAGTTTATCCATCAAGGATGTTCACTAGACTCTTGTTGTTTCTCATAATATGCTACTTCCACAGAGTGTAATTCAAAGGTCAAGTTTTGGATATTGTTTATCGAACAATAAGAATCTCGAATAAGGAGATAAGAGAATTGAGGTAAATTTTCATATAACACTATATGTAAACTTTGTCCCTTACAGATGTAACTCGCCTTAAAGAACATGTAACTTCTGCTAATGCCAAATTTAAACTCCAAAATTATTGTTTTTGTATTATATTTTAATGAATCTAATATGACACTTTCTAGTGTATTTTAATTTTTATAGGACTATGTCAAGGAAATTGTCATAGCAGCAAAAAAGTTCAACAACGCTTTTGAGGAATTTTCAAAGCTGCCAACAACAATTTCCAAAAATTCTCTAATTCTGATATCTTGAAAAAGATATACCTGACCACTGTGAAGTACTTCATGAGGCAAGCTAATGGGAATGAGTAGACAACCAAGAAATGGTTTGCTCTTAGAAGGAAGATGACGATTTTTTGAATGAACTTGGGGTATTGGGAGCACGTTTGGTAACATTGAAATCGACTGAATTGGCTAATTCTGCTGAAATTTATGAAGTTCTGGCTGAAGTGATTGTATTGGCTGATTCTACTGATTTATGAAAAAATTATATATATAATATATTTTTATTAATAAAATAAAGAAAAAGTTCTATAAAAAATAGCTAAAATGATCGTCTACAGTAACTTCAGTAAATACAGCCAGAAAAGTAACTTCAATCTTACTTTTTCTTATTATTACACAATTCAGTGTGCAAAATAAAAAATTATGTGTTTGGTTAAAAAATTGGCTGATAAGCCTGATAAATTGAATTTTGATGGTACACAATTCAGCGTGCGAAATCTGTAAAGATCTGTACAGTCACGCACATCCACACTCCAAATGTTAAAATAAGCCCAATGGGCCAAAATACATTAATCTGTCACATTTCTTGATTTTTTTAAAGGGTCACATTTCTTGATTTATTTAATACAGAGTACTCCGGATTAAAGAACAAAAACAATCGAAAAAGAAACTAAAAGAGGGAAAAAGAACAAACGCAAACGCTGATAATCGTTGAACAATCGCGGCCTGCATCATTCTCATTCTCCGCTGTGCACAGAAAACTCAGGGGTCGCGCGGCAGCACCAAGCCTCCAACGGTTAACGATTTCTATCTTTTACTTAGATCTGATTTATAGTTATTCTTCGGTAGTTCAGTTTGTGGGCGCTCCTCTAAGTTTCTATTTTCCGATCAAATCTTACCGGTTTCTCTATAGTTCCTGATTGGACCCTCCTCACCTCTGGTAATGGAGCTTCCAGCCTCTTGTTGGCAACTGGTGTTCGATAATTTCAAATGTTTAATTTTGGAATTTTGTTTTTTAGTTTGGATTGTTTAATGACTTTTATTGCTTGATTTTTATGGTTTAGTCTGATGTCAGTATTGAAGTTAATTTCACGGTTAGGTTTCTTAACTTAAACTGCAGGGACCGTGATTTTTACTTCCTCGGTAAGGCCTTGGTTGGCCTTCACATTCCGTAGCAATTCATATCATTTTAGGGAAGTAGCTAGATGTAATCCTAGGATATACTTAAGAAGTGATTTCTGTTTAAATGAGCTTATTTTGTATGCTTGGTTGAAATAAATTACACGTGAATATGTTAATACAATGATGTTGTATTATTGTACGTAGTAGCATTTTTTTTACTAAGTTATGATTGCACTTCTTTCAGTCTTCCCCTCTGAACATGTTCTCCGCATTATTTTTAATACCTATATATAAATCGCACATTATCTGAATTTGGTCGTTGTGTTTTACCATCAGCTCCAAGAACTGCTGGATAGGATTCCAGCAAAATCATGTTTGGATCAACTAACCGTAAGTCCTTTCTTAATCTTATTATTCTATGATCTTTAATGTATTTTATTTTAAAAACTGTGTTATTAGTTAGAAAGTCTAAGAACATGGAAACTAAGATTGTGCTAGAAAGGTTTTTTTTGTCTTATTTTTTTGTTATCACTACAAATGAAATTTTACATACTTAATCCATGAAAATTTCAATTCCATTATCAAGAATTAACATTACTTCCTAGTTCCAATAATTCTTTGACGCTGAGTTAAACATGCTGAGTTGACTTTTCCTATTTGCATTTACTCCCTTTCCCACAATAAACGTAAAAATGGTGATACGTTTTTGACTTACTGTATGATTTTCGATCAATGCAACAGCTTTTGGGCAGTCGCCCACCAGCCCATTTGGCTCACAATCAGCTTTTGGGCAGACAAACAACAATCCATTTGCACCCAAGCCTTTTGGTGCTACAACTCCTTTTGGATCTAATACTGGGAGTTCTATTTTTGGTGGCACATCCACTGGTGTTTTTGGAGCTACACAGTCTTCTTCACCCTTAGGTTCCACCCCAGTTTTTGGTGCATCTGCACCTGCTTTTGGAAGCACGGCACCTATGTTTGGAGCTTCATCAACTCCAGCATTTGGTAGTTCGTCATCAGCATTTGGCAGTAAGTATTTTCAAATGTGTAGAATTGTATCGTGGATTTAAGTTCACATTTAATGTAGTATGCTTCTCTGCATCACATTAGATCTGTAGGATCCATGTCAATGAAGTTAGGTCCATCTCAGGGCTACTTGTTCCTTCAAATATGATAAATTGGTCACCTAGGCATTGTACACTTCTTTAGAAATAGTCTTGTTAAATTGTGATATGTCCCTTCAAACTGATTAGTTAGGTCTACCTTGATTGATTCATTAAAAAATTATGAAGATTTCAAGTGTAAAAACAATATCCTTTGATGAAATGCAGAAAGCTCAAAGTTCTTGGTCTCTAGGTCCTCAAAGAAATAGACTTATATATGAGATATGAGATGAATGAGTGAATGACAGATAAATAAGACTACCTATGTAAGCATATGTTTACTTCTCTTCTTAGTAAGTGGTACTAAAACATACTCCCTCCGTCCCTTATAACTTTGCCAACTTTCCTTTTTTGGATGTCACATTAACTTTGACACTTTCCCTTCTAAGACAAGTAAGGAATTTGTTGTCCCAGTTAATTCTCTCTCCTCTGCACAAACCTCAACCACACAGTTTTTACTTTATTAATCCCTATGCCGGTCAAACTTGACAAAGTTATTAGGGACGAAGGAAGTACATGTTATTAAACTATGTGTTAATAAGCTATTGTTTTATAAAAATTGCATCATCATCATCATCATTACCCCCGTGCCGCAAAGGCTTCCACCTAAGGTGGGGTAGGGGGGGGTCAGATGTACGCAGCCTTACCTTTGTACTAAAGCACATAGATTGTTTCCGAATGACCCATGGTGAAAAACGCGTGAAAAATTGCATGGATTGACTATTGCTTCATAGTACCTCCATCTCAATTTGATGATACCATTGCGGTTTACGATATTTGACTGACGATAAAGCAAACAGATCCATGTCCGCACTCAAATTATTTCTAGAAAAAAATCACATATTCAAAAACTACATTAAAAACTTTACAAGTTTGATAAAAATTTGATATATAAAGTAAGAGATTAAGATTGATTTGTGTTGACCAAGTGAATATGAACTGGTACCATCAAATTGGGACGGAGGTAGCAACAAAGAAGCACAGACATAGTGAGCCATTTTGCTTTATTCTATCATATTCCCAAGCCAAAAAATAGTGAGCCATATATAAAAATTGCATATTAAGAAAATAAATACTGCATTGTTATAATGTGCTTAATAACACAAAATCTTTGTGTATTTCACATGGATTAAGTTTGGTTACTTTAAAATATCAGAAAGATCCGTTCCCTTTCACAAATTAAAACTTCGTGTATCACTGGCATCACTTTACTTTATTCTATCATCTTCTGCTCACAGCTTTCCTTCCGTGTCCCTCGTCTACTTCCACAATCATTATAAAGATACCTTTTTAAGGCAACCAAATTTCATCAGGAGTGACATGCAGTTTTTTATCTGAATTTAATTGTGTTCATCATTAATGCTAATCTAAATGGATAAAAGCGTTTTAGTGGACACAGAAGTAAACATGTGTTTGTTTGTTTTTTGCATGGGAAAATCTGGTTTTATTTGAGACTTCTCCTTCTGAAGGATCTGGAAGTTTTGTGTTTATGTTTTATACTTGCTCCATTTTGTCTTCTCTTAATCCGATTTATTTTCTTTTTTTTTTAGATCATGTGCCTATAGAAATTTATGAATTTCATCAAATAGAAGTGTTTTATTCTCTTCCTTAATCATTATTACTCATAGAACTAATAGAAGTCCTGCGATATAAACTTTTTATGGTTACAAAAGTAATTAGAAAATATGTTTGTATGGTTACTTGCTTCGTTTTTTCAATTGGAAAAACTTGTTTTATTTGAGACATCTCCTTCGTATGATCTTTAAGTGTTGGTCTACTTTCTAAAGTTCTAGTTGCTCCATTTGGTATTCTCTTTATCCGTCTTTATCTCACCTTTTTACTTTTTGTGGGCCCATACTATTTCATACTTTTTGGAGATTACAATTGTAATAGAACAATTTTATCCATTATTTTCTTAGAACATGTGCTAAACTTAAACGCATCTTACATTTTGAGACGGGGGAGTAAATAACATTAATCTAAGTTCTAACCAAAACACACTTGGGCAGTTTCAAATTTTATAAGAGACAACTTAATAACAAAAAGTGCAAGTCTTCTAAAATATGTGGATTTGTAGTCCAATTATATATTTCAGGACTGGGTTGTAAATATATATTTCATCATTAGAAATGATGAAATTAAAGTAAATATGTTGCTCGTTCCAGTAAAATAAAAAGAAAATTAGAACTGATCTGATACACAGACGTGGATAAAATTACTGATTGAAGAATGAATTTTGTAGAAGTCTGTAGCCAGTTGGATGGAACACCCAAAGTATTAAAGATTGCTTCCCTCTATAGAGTTCCAATGCTGATGTTTGGCCGTCTTTTTTTTTAAACTTCAAACTGCTCAATGCACTGACCCGACACATCGTCTTCCAATGACCTATTCAAGGCTCAGATTAATCTGTTAACAATGTGGGTCAGATTAGTTGTGCAAAAATGGCGCTGCCACGCGTATGTTGGTCGCCATGGAACCTTTATGTGTTCAAGAAGGCTTCAAACACCATTTGCGCCAGTGATAACTGACAACTCAGAAGAGGAGTATGTCGTATGTCCTTGTTAATGGCCTGGTAGGTATTAAGCGACATTTAGCAGTTTAGGAGGAAGAGGAAAAATGAGGCAACTATACAGGAACAATCAAAACAATGTGAGATATTTAGGAGCTTATGGGATAACAACAACAACATCCAAGCCTTGTTCCCAAAAGCATATGGGGTCAGTTAAAATGAATCGATCCATGATATTGGAGCCAAAAAGAAAAGAAAGATAAGAAAAATAAAAAGATAAGTTAAAATAAAAAAGGTAAGATGAAGATAAAGGTGAATATAAGATAAAAGAACATAAGAAAGATAAAAGATAAAAATAACATAAGAACATAAGAAAGATAAAGAAGATAAAAGAAAAAGAGAGAGAGAAAAGAGATACTCCCTCCGTCCCATTCAAAAGGTTCCTATCCATTTTTGGATGTCCCACTTAAAGGTTCTCACTTTCTATTTTAGGAAAACAATTAACACTCTTACATAACAATTTAATCATCAAATATTAAAAATAATATATCTATGACATCACAGTTATCATCAATAACGAATTATATTATATACCCATCAAAATTATTTCCCAAAATATACTCGAATTAGCATATTTAATTATTGTCTAAATAATCGTGTCATTTTGCTATGAGAACCTTTGAATCGGAGCCACGAAGGGAGTAAAAAAGATCAATCCTCCACACACGTATTTGCCCCGCACTCTGCTCTCTCCAAAGCCATACTCTCATCCAACCCAAGAAGAAGCATATCACTCATGATATGCTAATAACCGTATTAACATGTCCTAAGCCTCTAGCTCTCAGCGGGAATCTTTTATCTGATTGGTATGGACTGGTTGTAGAAAAGTAGCAGAAAATGCTATGCACAGTGAGTTTTGGTGGTGCTGATGATTCAAAGGACAGTTTTGTACTTGTAGCGCAATGCACATGGAACAGCGAGATGATGGAAGTAGTTTTAACCAATAACCAATGTTCCATTAGTAAATTCTTTCATCATATAGAATTGCATCTTTTTTCTTCCTTTATTTTTGATTAAATGTCATGTTTTAGTGTACCATTGTTATGGCAAAGATTGAATTGAAACTGCATTATATATACATGTTAAATGTTTTATTGTTCTGTAAATAAGGCACATTATTTAAGCCCGGTACGAAGTACAGTACATATATAGGATTGTGTCTTTAAGAGAGAGTATATTGATTTACAAGGTTTTGTTCGGTAGCCATTATCATAAAATTGAAAATTGCTGGAGGCCTATGCCTCGTAGTGCAAGCTTAGGGAGTTGAGGGGCAAGGTGAAATCCCATGATTGAGATGTGATTTGGGTTTTACTTTTGAACTTTTTAAAAGTGCTACTTGTGTCATATAGGTCACCCATAGGCCATGCCCCATTAATTTAATTAATTTAGTTAATAAAAACAAAAAGCGCCTATCTTATGTTTCGACCCTTGGAAGGAAGGCACCTTATGCCTGTCTACACTTTTAAAGTGTACGCGTATTTTAGGCCTTGAGAAGGATTATCCCTCTCTTATAGAAAGCATCCAGTCTTGAGCACATGACTTTTCTTTCAAACACTTGCCGTATTCACCTTAAACTTCTGATTAGCTGTATAACTGTATAAGTATCTTTTGACTTGGCCTTCAAGAAAATTCAACAGATTTTACAATTTTTGCCAAAGATCCCTTACCAAATGGGTCTTAAGATTAGTAGAACTGCAGAAGTGAGTATTCTAATACAGTATTTTTGTAGAATATTTTTTATTTAGTTTGAAATAAAGAGAGATGACTCTACTTGTTGGTAAACTATTAACTATAATAACTACTCCCTCCGTCCCATTTATATTGTCCCGTTTTACCTTTTCGGGAAGTCCCACTTAAATTGTCCCATACCATATTTGGCAAAGTTTGTGTGGCTCTAAATCATTCTTACTTTATTCTTACTTTCTCAATTGATGTCAACCACACAAACTCACTTTTCTTAATAACCATGCCACCCTCTTCCGGGACAATATAAATGGGACGGAGGTAGTATTCAAATATTCAAATATCCGTATATGATACTACCTCCGTCCCACTAACGTTGGGACAAGAGGAGGTGGCACGGTTATTGAATTGATAAAGTAAGAATGATTTAGAGTCACACAAATTTTACCAAATTTGGTATGGGATAATCTTAGTGGGATTTCCCGAAAAGGTAAAATGAGACAATCTTAGCAAGATGGAGGGAGTAATATTTTATTGAGAAATAGTAATTCGAATGCTTTTTATATAGTTTTTGCTTAAATACATGAGCATATGATTCAATAAACTTGATTTGTTCTTTATTTGCTGATGAAGGTTCTTCCTTGTTTGGACAAAAGCCTGCTTTTAGTGGATTTGGATCCAGCACTCCTCAGCCCAGTCCTTTTGGGAGCTCCTTTCAGCAGTCTCAACCAGCATTTGGGAGCAACTTGTTTGGTTCGTCCACGCCATTTGGAGCGCAAAGTCAACCTGCAGCATTTGCTACTCCAAGCACTCCTACATTTGGTTCAGCAAGCACCCCTACATTTGGCACATCAAGCACACCAGCATTCGGAGTTTCAAGTACTCCAGCCTTTGGCACAACGGCCAGCCCAACCTTTGGTAGCACAGGTAGTCCATTTGGCGGTGTTTCTAGTTCCCCTGTTTTTGGCTCAACCACACCAGCTTTTGGAACTTCTAGTACACCTGCATTTGGCACGTCTACTCCTGCCTTTGGCTCCACTGCAACCCAAGCATTTGGTAATACAAGTACTTTCAATTTTGGATCTGCACCTGCCTTTGGCCAATCAGCATCTGCTTTTGGTAGTACTCCTTTCAACACAACGCCGACACCCTTTGGCACTCAAAGTTCCGCATTTGGTGAGGTTTTTAAAGAAAATTTACGTGCATGACATATGAAGAGTTTATTTTATCTCAAAGCTCAACCTCTGACTTTTTGTCCTGTACAATGAAATTATGAAAACATGCAGGTGCTTCGGCTTCAACCCCACCTTTTGGATCATCTGGTCTTTCAGGACAACCCCGGGGATCTAGAGTAGCTCCTTACCAACCTACACCGGAGTTAGATAGTGGTTCAACAGCTGCTGGTAAAGTAGAGTCCATTTCAGCAATGCCGGTGTACAAAGACAAAAGCCATGAGGAACTTAGATTTGAGGACTACCAGGCCGGAGATAAGGGTACTACAATCACACTGGGAAGATGAAAATTCTATAACTGTTGGTAATGTTATATGTTGTTTATGTTTCTTTTTCCACCTAATAATTTCAGGAGGGCCAGCTCAAGCTGCACAATCTACATTTGGTTCCTCTACGTTTGGTCAGTCATCTGCCAATCCATTTTCATCCACTACACCTTCTAGTCCATTTGCCCCAAAATCTACATTTGGACTCTCAACACCAGCATTTAGTTCTTCAGGATTTGGAACTACAACTACTCCAAATCTATTTGGGTCAACATCATTGACATCACCTTCTTTATTTGGTTCAAGTGCTTCAACATTTGGAGCGAACACTACTCCTTCCCCTTTTGGACAGTCGGGCTCATCTTCTTTTGGACAATCAACATCAATTTTCGGCTCTTCATCAGCTCAAACTCCAACCCCAACATTTGGCTCTAGCTTAAGTTTTAATACTCAACCATCCCCGCTATTCCAGTCAACTACACCTTCATTTGGGCAGCCAGGAGCATTTGGACAAACAGGGGCAGCATTTGGACAGCCTTCGTCATCCTTTGGGCAGAGTACATCTGCTTTTGGTCAACCAAGTTTATTTAATACACCATCTACTGGTTTTGGTGGGAACTTATTTTCAAGCACTCCATCAATGCAACCTACAACGAATCCATCAGGATTTGGTCAAACAACAGTAAGTTGGCCATCCATTATTGTAGTTTCAGTTTTATTGTGGCCTTGCACTTTTGTTATCCGGCACACAATTTTACTATTCTTAATTTGATAACTGGCTCATACTTTCCTTATGAGGGCCTAAATATTTCATCCTTTGAAATTAAAATAACAAGTTATGCTGGCTCTGATCTTGCTGTTTTTACTGTTGCCTGTGAACATTACTTTAGCAAATAAAGATGATGAAATTATGTGCTAGGAAGTTGTTATCAGTTTGTGATTATGAAATAAACATTTCACTGGGTGTCTAGTTAGGTATTGATTCTAACTGTGAATGTTTATCTATCTCTTTCTTGCTTCTAAATTGCCTTTTTTTCCTGCTTGAACAGCCCTCTCTTCCAACAGCCTTTCAACCTACGCAGCCTTCTCAGAATACTGGGTTTGGGTTTGGTAACTTTGGTCAAACACATGGAGGTATCTTTAAATTTTGTCCGTCTTGCTTTTATTGCCTTAGTATCTTTAAAGATGTGATGGTAATGACATAATTTCTTTTCATGTTTCATTACAGCTGCTTCAAATAGCTTCGGGGCACCAAATATGTTTGGCCAGAACAATTTTCTTCAGCCGTATGTGGACACTCTTTTTTTTATTAAGTGGAGACTCTTTTTTACTAAGCGGAGACTCTATATTGCTCCCCAACATAAGGCTCCCATGCCAACATAGAGTTAAAATGAACAGGGATAGCATGATTTCACAAAATCTGATGGTGGCAGATTATATATATACTTTTCTCTTTCAGTATATGTTTATCTATGATCGTCACTATAAAACTGTTCTGGATCATCTTGGTTTCATTCTTCAACCTTCAAGAGTTTCCTGCTATATATATATATACACACAAATATTCCGGTCAGGAATTTCCTGACCGGAGCCCCGTCCGGCCTCCTCCATTTGGGGGCCTTCCCGGTGGTATTTTTTGCTCAATTTTTTTGTGTATGTTCCTCATCAAGTCTAGTTCATCCATACCAAATTTCAGCAAAAAATTCAATCGGGAAGGTCGTCAAATGATTTTTGCAAGTTAACTGGTCCGGAATATGTATTTTCCGGACCAGTTAACTTGCAAAAATCATTTGACGATCTTCCCGATTGAATTTTTTGCTGAAATTTGGTATGGATGAACTAGACTTGATGAGGAACATACACAAAAAATGTGAGCAAAAAATAACACCGGGAAGGCCCCCAAATGGAGGAGGCCGGACGGGGCTCCTGTCCGGAAATTCCGGACAGGAATAGCACTATATATATATATATATATATATATATATATATTTTGCAAGTTAACTGGTCCGGAAAATACATATTCCGGACCAGTTAACTTGCAAAAATCATTTGACCACCTTCCCGATTGAATTTTTTGCTGAAATTTGGTATGGATGAACTAGACTTGATGAGGAACATACACAAAAAATTTGAGCAAAAAATACCACCGGGAAGGCCCCCAAATGGAGGAGGCCGGATGGGGGTTCCTGTCTGGAAATTCCGGACAGGAATATTCCTGTATATATATATATATATATATATATATATACATATACATATATATATACACATACATATATATTCTCCCTATACAAGAATATATTGTTGGTCCGGTTCGATGAATATTTTATTAAACGTACCTAAGTTGTTTGTTTCGGAGTGAAACATTTGGACTTCATTTCATTGTTATATTTATTATCACTACTATATAGGAATAACATATGATGATGATTTTAGAATATCATTTCATTCTTTGTAAGAAATTTATGACTGGAAAGTCATCCATCTTATAACTTTAACACTGAATCTTTTGCATCAATTATAGTGTTAACTAAATTGCCTGCCACCTACCTCAATTAGTTGAGATTAAGGTGATGTTGGTGTTGGATACATGTAGGAGTAGGCCTCATATTTTTTCTCTTTCTTAAATAGTTTCATCAGTAGCTATAATTTACAAAAAGGAAACATGAAGTTTCAATTTTACCACGCTTTCCAGCTATGTATCCTTTTTTATTTGTTTCATAATTCTTTTTCTTGAGTGGGATTATTGTCATTGCAATTGAATTTTATTGACTGAAAATGATTGGCATCTTTTTCTGCCACAGGTCAGCCACTCAAAGCTCATTAGTTTTACAGCCAGTACCAGTGAGTAATCCTTTTGGAACCTTGCCTGCAATGCCTCAAATGTCAATTGGCCGGACAGGAAATTCTCCTTCTGTACAGTATGGGATATCAAATCTCCCTGTAAGTATTGCATAGAATGAGTATTAACTACTTACAAGCTTTATGCCTTTATCCAGTTTTAGTACTTACTATTTTTGCAATGCAACTTTTGGTATACCATATGCGTCTTACAATTTTCAATTTTTAGCCATCTGTGACAGAGAGACACTAGTGGTACTTCTTGTTTACTTGGCTTTGACTTTTTCGGTTCTCCACAATAGGTCTAGGGTCAAAAGCGTCAGTTCCACAATAGTTGGATAAAAAGTGTCACTGGCGCAACAGTTAGATGAGTAAGAGTAGATAAAGAGTGATGCTTTCACAGTACTCTAAGAACTAAAAGTTGGAAAGTTCATATTGTTATCCAGCCCTTTGTACCCATAGGTAATCTGTTAGGGACCTGCTTATGTGCAGAAACTAGATTTGGTAACTCTATATTTGTACAGGTTGTTGACAAACCTGCTCCTGTTAGGATATCGTCATTATTGACATCGCGACACTTTTCTCAAAGGCGTCCTAGGTTGCCTGCAAGGAAATATAATCCAAAATCTGAAGGGCATAAGGTATAAATGAAGGTGCTCCATTTAATTGCTATGTGTAATTTTTAATATAATTTTTTTATTGGGACTTGAATAGGGTTTTTTACTATTTTTTTACTCAAGGTGGCATTCTTTACTGATGATGAAGAGACAACTAGCACACCAAAGGCAGATGCCTTTTTCATTCCCAGGGAGAATCCAAGAGCTCTGGTAATTCGGCCATTGGAGCAATGGCCCACTAGAGGAAGTTCCGAGAAACCGTCTCCTAATCAACCTTGTTCTACAGCAGAACAAAATGGTAAGTTGCTTCTTAGATATTTCTCAGCCTTTAAAAACATGAGAGGGGATGGGAGATATGTAGAGGGAGAGAGACTATTTTATTAGTATTTCCACTTTGGTCTCACGCCAACAAAGTCAATACTCCTCTCTTTCCACTTTTGGTACATGACCATCAATTTGTTGCTACATTGGGCCATCTCAGTATCTGACACTTAATCCGGCTATATGCAACCAATAAGGCTCACATTAGATTCATCATCTTAGGGATTATGGCATTCCCTTTTCAATTTGGAATTCATGTTGAGGGAAAGCATGAAATGTCCTTTTCAACTGAATTTTTTAGCTTCACTTAACCAGATTAAAATCTTGAAACACTCTTGGGGACGGGAATATAATAGGGCATGCACCTAAATTGGAAAGAATGAAGGTCAGACTAAATGTTGAAGTTACTTGATATTTATGTGATAAAAAGTAGGAATCAATGAAGTATTTTACATGATCGTCTGTGGTAGTTCATGTTGCTGATGGTAGGTTGTTTTTTCTCCTTATCCAGGCAAAGCACTAGAAGACACATCTGCTCCTCAATCTAATGGATACTATAAGGGTGTTAAAGAAAGTAAGCAATTTGAACATTAACTTTTTTGTAGTTGTAGAAAAGAATAACTAATTGCGATGTCATGCTAGTTTACATGCAAGTGGAAATAAGCTATGATGTGATATGGTTTTGAAATTTTATCTAAATATTCCTTCTTGGGGAGGTTTTGATAGGAAAGGTATCTGTTGTGAAACATTGCCATTATGCTTTTTTTTTGCCCATGAAAAGTATAAACTTTACTAAACTAGTATGAAATTATTCAAAACCTTAAAATATTTCTGCTGCTTTAGCTACATATACAGGGTTTTTTTCAGAAATATTAATAGTTTGTACTAAATTAGTTTTTACTGCTTGTGCTGGATGATCCATCTTAGTACAAAGTTTTTACACACCTTTTACCCAATTTGGACCTTGTCTCTGTATGAGAGTAATTTGTTCCTGATGCGTATTTCACTCCAATTAAGATTTGTATGTCCACACACTGTGGACTGCACTGTGTTCAAATTACACAGTTTAGGGCTGGTTTGGTCTAGTTTAATGAATTGGCAAAAACACCCTTTCTGTTTAAGACCAAATTTATGTGAGGATTAATTAGAGTCCAGGATAAAGTTGAGGTCCAAATTGAGTAGTATAATCTATGGTTAGAAGACTAAATTAGGTATGAACACTTATAAATGTAGCTAATTCTGTTTTACTGGAACCTGTTTTCCAGATGGTACTGAAAATGGAAGCAGCTCCAAGGAAACCACCAACCCTCTTAAAACAAACCATAAACCCAATGGTGTCCCAGAAGGAGGGGCGTCTACTGCTACCCAAAAGGGAGGCTCGTCTTCCATTACTCTAACTGGCCACCGAGCGGGCGAAGCAGCAATTGTATATGAACATGGGGCTGACATTGAGGCACTGATGCCGAAGCTAAGGCACCCCGATTATTACACCGAGCCTCGGGTCCAGGAGCTGGCAGCCAAGGAAAGGGTAGAACCTGGGTTCTGCCGCCGTGTTAAAGATTTCGTCGTGGGAAGGCATGGATTCGGAAGCATAAGATTCCTTGGAGAAACAGATGTACGAAGGCTTGATCTGGAGTCTATTATTCAATTCAACAACAAAGAGGTGATTGTGTATGATGAGACCAAAAAACCACCTGTTGGACAAGGTCTCAACAAACCAGCTGAGGTCACACTCCTCAACATAAAATGTTTTGATAAGAAGACGGGGCAGAACTATACCGACGGGCCAAGAGTTGACAGGTACAAAGAAATGCTTAAAAGAAAAACAGAGGATCAAGGTGCTGAGTTTGTGTCCTTTGATGCATCCAAAGGAGAATGGAAGTTCAAGGTCAAACATTTCAGCAAATATTGGCTTGGAGATGATGAAGATGAGGAAACTTCACCAGGACTATCTATCTAGTATTGTAGTTTGCGCGATTCTTTTGTCAACCCTTGTTGGGTCAATGTTTTCTCCTTGTGCTTTTTATCCTTTTCTTGATATGTTTGATTTGTGCTCAACTGGCTTACATTTTTTTTTTTTGCTTTTGTAATTCTGTAAATTGTGTCGTCTTTTCTGTGCTTTCTGCTGTGTGTCTGGTCTGAACACTATTTGGACCATACTACCATAGGTACTAACTATCAAATGTACTGTTTCGATATAGTGGTTATGTGTACAAGGATTGCTGGTTGACTAGCTATTAATGAAACAATATTAGGTGTCTCTTGTTATTTACCTAGTATGTAGTTTGGTTCTGCATGAAACATCGGTTTGGACTTCGGTAATTGGTATAAATAATATATTAATATGTGACAAATTTTTAACTGACTTATAGGAAAATCGCTTTGACAAAATGGATTTGTCACACGGTCACACCTGTCCATTGTCACGGATCCTCCATATCTCAGGCAAACTGCCTGGAATTAGGCATGGACCCGGTTCGGGCCGCCCGGCCCGCCACTGTGCGAGCCCGGAACCGGCCCGGTTCTCGGGTCCGGGTCGGGCCTAGGCCCGGTGGGGTGGGTGGGTCCGGGCTCGGGCCTTGTATTTGGCGAACTGACCCGGCCGGGTCGGGCCCGGGCCGAATTGATTTTTTTTTTTTTTTTTTTTTTTTTCATCTTTTGGGGTTAGCCGGGTTGGGCTTGATGGTTAGGAGGGGTTTGGGGGTTTGGGGGGGTGAGTGGGGGGGGTTAGGAAAGCAAAAAAAAAAAAAAAAATTATGACCGAACTGGAGGCCCGGCCCGGCCCGGACCCGGACCGGACCTGGTGGCTACCCGGGCCGGTCCCGGGCCTTCCTTCCCAAAAAAAAAGCCCGGCCGGGCCCGGCCCGGAACCGGAACCGGCCCGGCCCGGGTCCATGACTACCTGGAATCGAGTTGCTAATTGCGAATTTGCGATACAGCCAGCTTCATCCAAAAGTTGTCAAATAAATGAACAAGGGGATGATCGGTCATTGTACACAAACACGGAGCATATGGTTAAAGAAGATGTGTTTACGTGTAGTTTTTACGGTTTCTTAAACACAGTGAGAATTAGTTGTTAAAAATAGGGGTAAATATCGATAGCGGCAGATAGTCATGGACCCGGGCCGGGTCCGGCCGAGCTTTTTTTTTGGGAAGGAAGGCCTGGGACCGGCCCGGGTAGCCACCGGGTCCGGGCCAGGCCGGGCCTCCGGTTTGGTTATTTTTTTATTTTGGGAAAACTGTCAAATAGGCCCCCCTACTAATACATAAAAGTCAATTAAGCCCTTGAACTCACAAAACACTCAATTAAGCCCACGAAGTATAAAAAACAAGGCAAAACAGTCCTTTTAGCAGGTAATTAAGCGGTAAAAAGAGATAAGGAAAAAAGGAAAGAAAGATAAAAAGAGAAAAAGAAAATGTAAAAGCATGCCACATCATTTGACACACATACAATTTAATTGGGAACGGTTAATATCCTGCTAATAGGACTGTTTTGCCTCGTTATATTTAGTTCGTGGGTTTAATTGGATGTTTTTTTTAGTTCAGGGGCTTAATTGACTTTTTCGTATTAGTAGGGGGACCTATTTGACACTTTTCCCTTTTATTTTTTATTTTTTCCTTTCCTAACCCCCCACCCCCCACCCCCACCCCCCCCCCAAACACCCCAAACCCCTCCTAACCATCAAGCCCAACTTGGGTGGAACCCCAAAAAATGGAAAAAAAAAAAGTCAATTCGGCCCGGACTCGGGTAGGGGTGGACTCTGGCCGGGCCAACCGGCCCGGAACCAGACCGGCCCGCTACTGTGCGGGCCCGGACCGGCCCGGTCAACCGGTTCTTATCCGGTTCGGGCCACCCGGCCCGGTGGTATAGCGGTCCGGGCCCGAGCCTCCATTATAGTGAACCGGCCCGGTTCGGGCCTCCAACGGCCATATTTTTAATTTTTTTTTTGAAGGCTCCTAGCCGTTGGGAAGGCTCCCAAACGGCTCTATAGCCGTTGGGAGCATAGGAGGGGGGGTCTGGGGGGTTAGGGGGTGGGGTGGGGGTGGGGGTGGGGTATAAAAAAAATCTATTTAAACTCCTATTTTCTCTACATTTTTTACACCTCTTCTTCTACAACTCTTCCTAGTCTCTAATTCTCTACTCTAAATCTCTCATATTCAATCATCTTCATTCTTCATCTTCTCCAAATTCTTTCTACATATATTTAATTTATATAATTATTATATCTACTTATATATTAATTATCTATTTATAAAGAGTCAATTCCCTAAATAGGACTAAAAAGTGGAAAAATTGCACAAATAGGACTACATTTTTTAAATTCCCTTAATAGGACTATTTATGTGTGTTTGGACAAATATACCCTTGTAACTTGTGAAATGTTTTAATTAATAATAAAATCATAAAAAAATTAATAAAAATCGAAAAAAATACTAAAAATCGTAAAAAAAAATAATAGAAAATTAATAAAAATATTTTTTAAAAAAATAAAAAAATTATTTTTAAAAAAAAAAATAAAAAAAAAATAAAAAAATCATAAAATTAAAAAACACACATTACCAACCCTGCCACCCCAACACCACCATCTCCCATCACCGGACAAAAATATGCCAACATTTTAAATAATGCCATAATGATGGCATAATCAATGAAAATGTTGGCATATTGAAGAGTAATTATGCCATCTTTTTGGCATTTTCAGAAAAATATGGCATTTTTTACCAAAAGTGGAAGAAATTTCACCAATCGGAGGTGGTGGTGCTGGGAGGCGGTGAGAAAGGTATCCATAATTTTTTTCATTTTTTATGGGTTTTTACTATTTTTTATTATTTTTTTAAAAAAATTAAAAAAATAAAAAATTAAATTTTTTATTTTATAAATGTTTTATAATTTTTTTTAAATTTTTTTACGTTTTTTAAATATTTTTTTACGTTTTTTGTGATTTTATTATGAATTAAAGCATTTCATTATGAATTAATACTCTTAGGGGTATTTAGGGTAGAAAATCAATGTTTAGTCCTATTTAGGGAATTTTAAAAATAGTAATCCTATTTGTGCTTTTTAGGAACTTTTTAGTCCTATTTAGGACAATTTCCGTTATAAGTATATACTTATACATATTCATATTATAATTCTTTACACATTATATATTCTATATAAGTATATATACTATACACATTCATATTTACTTGATATTTAGTTATTATCCATACTATTGTTATTTACTTATATTTACATATTACATTTAGTTAATATATACGAGGACGAGGGCGGTTCAACCCAAACTGGTAAGAAATCTAAATCTCCTATTATTGAAAACAATTTTACAAAAAGGAAAGACAAAAATACCGAAAAATGATACGCAAGTTGCAATCATTGCGGCAAAGAGTATAGCTTGTGGAGTATGCGAAAATAGACAAGGGCAAGGGAAAGCAAACACAAGTATCGAGGTTTACAAATTCTCAACCCTTTGGTAATTTCTCCTATGATGATCAAAAACATTTGACTGGTATGTCTCATTTAATTGTTGAAGAAAATTTATCCTATATTTTTTCCGAAAGTCTTGCTTTAAGAGATTATGCTCAAGGTACTTTAAATCCTCAATTTAGAAATTATAGTCGCAAAACGATTAAAAAGGAAGTTATAAGGCAATATAACTTGGAAAAAGAAAATTTACAAACTTTTTTCGCAAACTTTAATGGACGTGTTAGTATTTGTAGCGATATATGGGAGGATACTTATCATCATTTATATTATTTGGGTCTTACTGCACATTATATTGATGATGATTGGAATATGCATAAACGTGTTCTTGTTTTTCGTGAATTCAATGATCGTCATACTGCTGATACGGAGTAATATTTATATTCTCATTGAGCGTTTTTTAATTGAGTATAATTTGCTTGATAAGGTGTTTGCTGTAGGTTTTGATAATGCTAGTAATAATACTGCTGCTATACCTAGATTGCGTGAATTGTGTGGTGCTTCTACATTGATGGGTAGGTTTTTTCATTAACGTTGTGCATGTCATATTCTAAATTTGTGTGTACAAGATGGATTAACGGCATTAGGAAATGCTTTGGAGGTTGTCAAGGGGGGGATTAAATTGATTTGGGCTAACACTCCACTAAAAATGCAATGGCGGCAATATTCAAAGGAAAGACGTGTCAATTATTGTGCTTTTCCTAAAGATTTGTCTATTCGTTGGAATAGTACTTATAACTTAATTCAAGTACTTATTAGATATAAAGATCATTTTCCTGCTTTTTTAAGGCAAACTTGTAACTATATTATAAACCCGGCTGACATCGACACTTGTGAAAAAATTGTTAATGTTTTGGTATATTTTAATAACGCAACTCAAACTTTTAGTCATGTTTATAAACCTACCGCAAACGAATTTTTTGTTGAAGCTGTTAATCTCGCCGGCGCATTTTTAGAATTTTCCGATGCCGCTTACGTTAGTTATTTTTGTGATTTCATGAAACAAAAGTTTTTAAAATATTATTCACATGTTCCGCATATATATGGTATTGCATTTGTTCTTGATCCTCGTTATAGACTTGCCTCGTTGCCAACTTGTATAGATTACTATTATAATTGTTTTTTTCCAACTCAAGAGTTCGATGATAATCTCATCGACCCTAAACAAGAATACAACGAGGTTAGTAATTCATTTCATCAATTGTATTATGAATTTCATGCACAATATGGTAATGCACCCCCTCCCATGCCGCGAACATCTTCTTCATCTAAAGGAAAATCACTTTTAAAATCTGCATTTGGTTCTCTTATGAAAAAAAGTAGAGCAACTCCCGCTACTGAACAAAACTCAGTTAACGAGCTTTCTTTGTATCTAACATTGAATGTTAATTATGAAGTTGGGGATGATTTTGACGTTCTTAAGTGGTGGAAGGACAATGAAAGAACGTTCTCGGTTTTATCAAAGATGGCTAAGCAAGTGCTAGCAATGCCGATATCAACAGTTGCCGTGTAACAAGAATTTAGTGTGGCCGGCAACGTCCTAACCGATTATAGAACGAGGTTGAGCCCGAGCTCTCTTGAGACGCTAGTTTGCTTCCATGATTGGTTGAAGGCCAAACGAAGAACTCAAGAAATGACCATCGCTCCCACCCGCCACTTTATGGAGGAAACAACCGCCGAAGGCGGAGATTCCGATTGATTTTTTATTTCAAAATGTATTACATATTTTAAATGCATCCTAATTCTCAATTGTACTTCTTATTTGAAATAAATATACTTGAATTTTTTTATATTATTGTGTACATCAATTCAATAATTCAAT